CAATTAGGTCACCATCGAATACGAATATAGGCACAATACCGTGTTTAGTGAGACTATTGATCTTGTTCCTGAACATGTTGATGTATTTCTTAGTATCGAGTTTGTTGTATATTTCATAGGCGCAATTAGATGCAATAGCATGAATCCAACAGAATGCATCCACAGAGACTCGTTTCTTTCTGTATTCACTGATTGGCACTCTTCTGATAGCCTTCCTTACCATTGGTAGCAAACCTGTAATACCCATTGGAAAAATAGGCAAAAAATAATGAATTTTTGTAACTACCTCATTTATGAATCGGATAAAGGGAGTAGAACTTGTGGCAGAATTCAGTTGAGAAAAACTCGCCTGAAAAAATCAAAATTTTATTCACCATGGCATTTTTGACCAAAAAAGTCAAAGACACGAATATCATTGGAATAGATCTTGGCACGACCAACACTGTGGCTGCAATGATGATAAATGGAATACCATCAATTATTAGAAACAAAAAGAACAGATCTACGACACCATCAGTAGTCAATCAGCAAAATAAAAACAAGTTCATAGTGGGAGAAGATGCCAAAAATCTACTTGAAAAGGATCAGTACAACACAATTCATAGTTCAAAAAGACTGATAGGAAGGAAAATGGCTGAGATCAGTACATATGCCAACACTCTGCCATATAAAACAACAGAATCGTGCAATGGTGACGTATGGATCAAAACGGATTTTGGAAAGTTCTCACCAGCTCAAATTGGTGCTAAAATCCTTGGATATGTCAAGAAATTCACTTCAGAATGGCTCAAGGGGAATAAAAAGGATTCAGGTGTTCAAAGGGCTGTTGTAACAGTTCCAGCCTACTTCAATGATATGCAAAGACAGGCGACAAAGGATGCTGGAAGAATAGCAGGACTCGATGTGATACGTGTCATAAATGAGCCAACTGCAGCAGCATTGGCCTATGGATTGGAGAAGAAGACACGTGGAAATGTGGCAGTCTACGACCTGGGTGGTGGTACATTCGACATCTCCATTTTGGAACTTGATAACGGCGTATTTCACGTTAAGGCAACAAATGGAGACACCTTTTTAGGTGGAGAGGACTTCGATGGGGAGTTTCTGAAGTTTCTGGTCAATGCATTTCACCAAAGCGAAGGAATTGAACTGAAGTCACCTAATGCATTGGTGAAGTTGAAGAATGCAGCTGAGAAAGCAAAGAAGGAGTTGAGTCAGAAGACACAAACTAAAATAGTGGTAGAAAACATAATAGATGGCGTAGATTTCGATCTAAATGTAAGCAGAAATCAGCTTGAATCAGTAATAAAGAGAGTGGCGAATAGGACAATAGAACCATGTAAGACAGCATTGAGAGATGCTGGATTACAGAATAAGGACATCAATAAGGTCGTTCTAGTTGGAGGAATGACTAGAATGCCATATATCCGGAGTCTGGTCCAGGATATTTTTGGAATAGTTCCGTCACATGACATAAATCCAGACGAAGCCGTGGCAAAGGGTGCGGCAATTCAGGCAGGAATACTGAGCGGAGACGTAAAGGATGCCGTACTGCTTGATGTGATACCACTGAGTCTCGGAATTGAGACTGTAGGAGGAGTATTCAGCAAAATGGTTGAAAAGAATACCACAATACCATTCAAACAGGAAGAGACATTCACTACATCCAAAGATGGACAAACAGAGGTGGATATTCGCATATATCAAGGAGACAGGGCACTGGTCCGTGAGAATAAGGAACTTGGTAAAATTACTCTAAAAAATATTCCAAAAGCCAAGAAGGGTGAACCAAGAATTAAGGTTATTTTCACAGCAGATGCAAATGGCCTATTGAGAGTGAAAGCAGAGGATGAAATCACCAAGAAAGCACAGGGTTTGGAAATCAAGGCATCTTCTGGGCTGGAAGAATCAGAAATAGAGAAAATGATACAAGAAGCTAAAGCAAATGAGATGCTTGACAAGAAACAGCTGCAGATTACAGACTTCAAGAACAAATACAGGGATCGAATTGAACAATTTGATAAACTCAAACTGAAGGATGATCTCAGGGTGGAATTGAACAGAATCAGAGACGAATACTTGAACAAGGATGAGTTTGATATTGAGATAGGAAGAAGGGATGTTGAAAGGTGGCTTAGTAAATGTGTTTAATGAATAGCAAGAATCAGACAATGTCTCCTCATAAATCGGAGTAACCAATGAATTGTCATCATTTTCTGCCTAATATTCCAAATCAGAATTCGCGGATTTTCTAATCATAATCAGTGAAAGAAGACCTTCAATTCATCATCTTTGGCTCATTTGTAGAATCAGAGTCCTCGTCATCATATTCAGACAGGGATAACTTCCTCATCATCTTCTACGTCTTATCTATGCGAATCAGCCACGTTCTTCCTCACGAATCGGACTCGTCGTCTTGCATCATCTTCGCTGTAATTATCTAGTCTTCTTTTTGGGTCTCAAATTTTTCAAAATATTTCACAAATTCAATAGGCGATCAAGACCAGAAACAAACCATTTCAATTCTTTTGTTTTTTTACAGTGAATTTCGCCCCAATCAGAATGTGGTCTGATGGAAAGTGGATGTTGGGGAGTCCAATTGTCTTGGCCGTGTATTCGTCTTCGACTGGTGATATGACACTTGTGAGACTCAGTCCATCAGAGTAGAAGATGTAGTCAATGACCTCTTTGAATGTTGGCGTGAAGTTGGTGAATGTGATCTCCTGCCCATCGTATGCGTCCATGAGCCTGAGATTGTGGGCGATGCCGTCATTCAGTGTCCCGTAGTCGTAGGGTTCGAAGACGGCCCCATCCATTTTTCTGTTTGTGACGTATTCGTAGAGCACCGTCTTCTTGAGCGTATTGAAATCGCCTAGAAATATCACACGACTGTTTTTGTACTTTTCCTTCACAAATTCAACCTCCTCAAAAAACACCATCAGTTGAATTGCTTTCACATCAGTGAATTCTGGATTGTAGTAAAGATGCACATTGGCCACAATTATTGTCGTACTGGTAGTGGTGGTCTCCAACACCGTGATCAGTCCCATATTCGTCTTATTCGTCAGTCGCGTGTGTACGTCACTCAGATACTTGAATCTTTTGTCTCCCATTATTTTCGCCTGCAAATCAATATTGATCTGTTCAACGAGTCTGAATTTGCTTCGTTTCCAGAACGTGGCCTGGCCGTAGAGCTTCTTGAACCCGTCTGTGTTTGGATCGTACGACTTCTTGGGCAGCATGACTCCGTCGTAGTCCAACTTCTTGGAGAGATTCTCCTTGTAAAATGAGTTGAATACGCCCACGTCAACTTCCTGTAACGAGACGATATCCAAATTGTAGGCGACAATTGTTTGCATCAAAATGTCCTTCCTGCATTCGAGATTTATGACCCAACTGGGCGCATACGTCAGCTGAGTGGCGTAGAAGCCACAGAGCATGTTGAATGTCCCAACTGAATACGTCTCAAGCACAGACTCAGCCTTCATGATGGTGTCAATCCAGGCACGGTCATTTGGCTGCTTGTAGTTCGTGTTATTCTCCCTACAGAAGCGAAGTAGGGACTTGTCCTTTGCCATCGTGTTGTAGGGGCTTATGAGGGGATTATTCGTGATGTTGAAGCTCTCGAGTCTGTAAAGGGTTCCAATTTCCATAGGCACCTCAGTCACGAGGTTGTCGTTCAGGTAGAGCTCCTTCAGGTGGACCAGTCTTCCCAATTCAGGCGGAATCCGCGTGATTCGGTTGAATCCGAGATTCAGCACCTCCAATGTCTGAATTCTGCATATTTCAGCCGAAATGGACTCAATTTCGTTGTTGTTCAGAATCAGCGTCTTGAGGTGCGACAGGCGCAGGATGTCCCTGCTCACGAGTCGCAGTCCCTGGAAGTTCATCTCTAATCCGGTCAGCTCGTCCTGTTTGTGTTCTATTGCAACTTCTGATCGTCTTGTTTTTCTGAATTCTGCCATAATGGGCAAAAATAAAAATATATTTTGCATGAAAGATGCGAACAAATTAGACAATATTTATTCTTCATTCCGTAGCAAATAGCTTGAACTCAAACTTGTCCTTCAGTATCTGGGCAGCCAGACACTGAATCGCCTTCATCTCGTTATCGCTCCAGTAGCTCTGCTTTGCGTCCAAATAGACGTTCTGCACGACCTCAGTTCGCGACTCTACCTCCTGGCTACGTCCCATGACCACTGCTGGAAAGCACAGGTCGTTCAGCAACGCCTCCCTCTTCCTGTTCAGTGCCAGACCCTTCTTCTCAGGTGCCTTTTCATTTCGTGTTGCCAGAATGACCATTCCTGGAAACTCCTTCTTCATCGCAGTCAAAAACTCCCTATAATTCTTTCTCAAAAACCTCAACAAATCCTCCTTCACACTCACAACCAGAATCTGCACCGACTTGTCCCCCACGGTGTACGGCTTCAGCTGTAGATCGCCCAGCATCCCAGATACCTCTGGTTTCGCCCTCATTTCGTCAGCAAGTATCCTTTCTATCAATTTGACTGTTTTGGTCTCCTTCTCGTTTAGTTGCCTTGCCATGTGGGCAAAAAACACCAAAAATTTGTAAAAATTCTTTAATGGCACTGCAGTGGCATCCGAGACTACTCGCTGCTCACAATGTGCTTACACAACGCACTGTAGAACCTGTTGTAGTCGATCTTCTGCGTATGCATCGGAGACCCGCCACTTGAACACAAATACGTCACCAGAATCCTCTCCTGGCTCTTTCCGGCAGAAGTCACCTTGTACTGTGGTGCTGGAACTCGCTCCTCGAGCATTGCCAGCCCAGCTGCCTTTGCTGCGTCCAGCGTGTCCCTGAAGAACGTGAATTCACTCTGTTTATGCAATCCATCCTTGATCCAACTCATTATGTTCAGTCCATTCCATTGGACCACGTTGTGGAACGAGTCCATGAGAAGAATCACGTCATCGGCCATGGCCTCTGTGCTCAGTTCGGTAGGAAAGACGTCTCCCTGGTACGTGAAGCACTGGAGAGTTGGCTTGATAAGCTTCAATGCATCGGATACGCGTAATTTGTAAAGGAGTGTTTTGAAGTAGGCGGACTCGTCCTGGGAGACACCGTCAGGCTGAATCACGAATGATCGCCTGAAGAAGAACATGAAATTCAGGTAGTAGCCCATTGTGCTTGGAAGAGAGAGGGAATCGGGGCTGTTTCTCTCCCAGGCGGCGTACCTCTTTGTGAATCGAATCAGGTGCTTGTCAATCGACGTCTCCAGGTCGTAGATGTTCTCAAACGGGTGGTTGCAGAAGATGCGCGCCTGGGCCACGCAGGCCGCCTCCTCGTCGAAGCTGTCGCAGAGCTGCACTTTGTCGCTGGAGAAGAGGCGCGCGAACGTCGTCACGCGCAGCACAGTTCGCCTGTCCGACCTCACAAACTGCGTCAGAATCTGAACGTATCCGTAGCTGTTTGCCCTGGCTGCCTCAGTTGGCTCCAGGTGGACAGTCAGGTTGGTCGTAGGCGAAATGCATCCGACACTCCACCCACTTCCTCTTTGTCTTCCGTCTCCGTAGAAGCCCCTTGCTTTGATGTTTGGCGTCGATTTGATTTGTATTTTTGCATTGAATCCAATTCCAAGGCTCCCTTCGTCTGTGGCGTAGAGCATGTCCAGCGATGACATCACAACACGCTCCTCGAAGTCCTGGGCGATGATGATGGCACCGCCAGTCATCGAAATCAGCGGACGCATCTGCTCGTAGCCGATGTCCGCGATTGTCTCCCCGATGATGTCGATCGAGTGGCCCAGGTCGTTGATGCGCCCAGCCTGCTCGTCGTAGAACTCAGTCGCCTTCGCCACGTTCGCCTGGTCTTCTGATGCAATTTCCCTATGGCAAACTTGTCCAGGCCCGTACGTGCAGGGGCCCTGGGTGAAGAGCAGATATTTCACCGGATTCTCCCTAAAGGGCCCTTCCAGAAAACTCACCGCAAATGAAATGGCTGCTCCAGTGCACCTGTTGGCCCTGAATCCGTTTGGAACTGGAAATGGATCTCGTTTCATTCTGGCAACCACCTCTTTGATCTCCTTTTCCATTTCACACTTCTTCACCAGAAAAAGACGCAGGTCGTCCATTCCACGAATGTTCTTCTTTTCGTAGACGAAGTCGCCTGAAAACTGGTAGACCGTCTTCAGTGGCTCATCCGTGAATGAATACACGTTGATATTCGTCCCATACTGAATGACGCCAATCATTGCTTCGTCAGGGAGCATGTCCACTGCCTTTGTCACAGAGCGAATCATCAGTCCGTGTCTCTCTTCATCGTACGTGGACGTATCAATGATCAGAATGAAAACAGGCGGAAAAGCAGACTGCTTTGTCAGGGCGTATTCCACCGTTGTCGCATTCTCAGCCAATTCGGGCATGTTCTCAACATCGAGGTCGTTTGGGAGGCTGTTGCGACCAGAGCAGAACGAGCACGTCCAGACACGTTGGGCTGGATCCACGTACGCCAGTGGTGAGAGAACGCCCTTGCACTTCATGCAGACAACTGGCTCGTAGTCCAAGAATGGGCACTTCTGTTTTATGTTGTAGTGGACAGCAATTGGAACAGTGTCCGCCTTGGCTGGGCTTGGATTCCACACGTTCCACGTGAATCTGGTTCCTTCTGTTTGTTCGATTGCCTGGAATGCCTCGGCATTGGATTGAGCTTCTTCCATGGGGTTTGTTTGTAAAAATTATGTAAAACAACTTCAGGTGCAGAAGGAGGATGCAATCAGGTGCAGTAGCATCCAGGAGACTATTGTCAATTGAGTATTCGATATGAAACAGGCTGTTTTATAAAACATGAGGAAACTGGTTGATAGAGCATGGGAGACANGTTTTATGTTGTAGTGGACAGCAATTGGAACAGTGTCCGCCTTGGCTGGGCTTGGATTCCACACGTTCCACGTGAATCTGGTTCCTTCTGTTTGTTCGATTGCCTGGAATGCCTCGGCATTGGATTGAGCTTCTTCCATGGGGTTTGTTTGTAAAAATTATGTAAAACAACTTCAGGTGCAGAAGGAGGATGCAATCAGGTGCAGTAGCATCCAGGAGACTATTGTCAATTGAGTATTCGATATGAAACAGGCTGTTTTATAAAACATGAGGAAACTGGTTGATAGAGCATGGGAGACAACAAGTGGTTCTGGGAAGAAGGAAATGAAGAGGAGAGTGAGACGAAGGAAACTACGAAGAAGAATACGCAAATGGGAGGTGCAACAATTAGAAGGAAGAAGAAACAGGAGGAATCAGAAGAAGAGAAACCTGATAAAACGAGTTATTGGGGAAAGAAGAAGACGGGGAGAAAGAGAGAGAAAGAGGAGAAAGAGGAGAGGGAAGAGAGACAAGAGAAGACTAAATATTGGGGAAATAAGAAGTCAGAAAAGGAAGAGAAGAAGGAAGGAGAAAAGGAAACAAGATATTGGGGAAAGAGGAAGAAGCAGAACAAGGTGAGAGATGAGGATAGAAATGAGAGAGGGGAGAATGAAGAGAGGTCAGAAACAGGCAATGGAGGAGAGAGAGAAGAAAGGCCAAAGGAGACAAAATATTGGGGAAGAAAGCAGAAGAAGGCAGAACCAAAGAGAAGGGAGGATACAGGAAGAAATCGAGAAGAGAAACCAACAAAATACTGGGGAAAGAAGAAGACAGGAAAAGAAGCACCAGAGAAGAGAGAAAGGGATAGAGGGGAGTCAGGTAAAAAAGAAGCTAATCAACAGAAACCTGAATCAAAGAAGAATGAAGAATACCAAAAGGAAGAGGTGGTGAAAGAGAAAGAGAAAGTGGAGGAACCAAAGCAGAAGAGAGGGAGTTTCTTTGACTTCTTTGGAAGTAAAAAGAAGAAAGATGAAAATGTTGATCAGAAAGATAAAGATAAGGGAAAAGATGAGAAGGCAGAAACAGAAAAGGCAAAAGAAAGTCACCCAGAAAACCAAAAATCAAAAACAGGTGAACCTGATAAAACACCTAAATCAAAAGAAGATCAACGTGATGAATCAAAGAAGAAAGCAGAGCCAGAAATAGCAAAGGGAAAAGGTGAGAAGACAGAAAAAGGAAATCAGCAAGAAAAACATAATCCAAAAGAAGATCAACGTGATGAATCAAAGAAGAAAACAGAGCCAGAAATAGCAAAGGGAAAAGGTGAGAAGACAGAAAAACCAAAAGGAAATCAGCAAGAAAAACATAATCCAAAAAGTAGTGAACCTGATAAAACACCTAAACCAAAAGAAGATCAACGTGATGAATCAAAGAAAGACAAGTCAAATAAACCACAACGTGATGAATCAAAGAAAGACAAGTCAAATAAACCACAATCTGATGAACCAAAGAAAGAGAAGTCAAACAAACCACAACCTGATAAATCAAATAAGCCAGAAGAGCAAAATAATGCAACCAAAATACCACCAGAAAGCAAGAATGATCAACATAAACCAGAAACAGATAAGGAAGATACAAATAGAACACAACCAAATACACCAGATAAGGCACAATCAAAAAATGATGATATTAAGAAATCAAAAACTAAAGAGGGGACTGTATTTGGAAAGCCACCTGAACAAAAAGATGAAAAGAAACCTGAATCAAAAAAATCAAACGCAAATCAGTCAAAAACTAAGGAGGGAACTGTCTTCGGGAAACCATCAGAACAAAAAGACGAAAAGAAACCCGAATCAAAGGCAAATCAGTCAAAAACCAAAGAGGGAACTGTATTTGAAAAACCACCTGAACAAAAAGAAAGCGANAAGGAAGATACAAATAGAACACAACCAAATACACCAGATAAGGCACAATCAAAAAATGATGATATTAAGAAATCAAAAACTAAAGAGGGGACTGTATTTGGAAAGCCACCTGAACAAAAAGATGAAAAGAAACCTGAATCAAAAAAATCAAACGCAAATCAGTCAAAAACTAAGGAGGGAACTGTCTTCGGGAAACCATCAGAACAAAAAGACGAAAAGAAACCCGAATCAAAGGCAAATCAGTCAAAAACCAAAGAGGGAACTGTATTTGAAAAACCACCTGAACAAAAAGAAAGCGAACCTCAACCTGAACAAAAGAATGAACCAGTTGATTCTTCACCTGAGGAAACTAAGCGTGAATCACCCTTGGCCAATATTGATCTGAGACTGATCTATATCTTCTTTGGGATACTGAATCTGGTGTGTGTTGCTGTATTCCTGTTCTGCACCGAGTATCTCTTTGATTGCACTGTCTCATTCAACTTCGTAGGCCTCTGCCTGCTTGTTGTTGCCATTATACCATGGATCCCATTCAAAAGCAAAGACAAAACATTCGTCTTCAAAGTGGGGCTTCTCTCTCACATTCTGACTCTGCTGGCGCTACTGTTTCTCTTTCTGCTCCGTGTCACAGTCACATTCTACATCTTGGACCTTGATGACTACGATGTGACTCGTGAGCAGCTTGAGGCTGTTCGGGCTCTCCCCCTTGAAAAACGCGTATTCGAATTGGACACGATTCTTGAGAGGAATCTGCTGGCTCCGTTGCTCCAAGACGACAACAGAAACGTGAAAGTGGTGCTGTTTCATTCCAGCAAGCGCAGTGTACGAGGAAACAAGAATCTCGATGAGACACTTTTTAAGGAGCTGATGAAGTTTGACCTGAAAGACAGAAACAGGAAGGAAATGACATTTATTAGCGCAGTACTTGGTTTAGATTGGGAGTCTTCTGCTGAGGAGAGATCAATTCTAAAGCTAATCAACAAAACACGCTTCAGTAACAAAAAGGAGTATTATGCTGAATTCATAGGGTACTTCAGACTGACAGACATGCCTGAAAACATGAAGCAGCTGACACGCAAATTGCACGACTTCCGTGAACTACATCGTACCATCATTCAACACTGATAAATTACTCAACTTTTATAAATCATTATGCCAAACCAATAATCAATATTGATAGTGATATTGTTTACCCATGATAAACAAAATATTGGCCAAGCGGAATTTTGCTGAGCTCAATGCAGCAATCATCTTCCATTGGGTTATCTTCATTGCAAAGAACACCCTGATTATCTTTCTACTGACTCCTCAAACCATTCCTGAGGAAGGTGGAATCAAGGATATCTGTATTGGCAAAATAATAATCACATTTGCGATCAACCTGGGACTATTTGTTGGATTCATGGAAGCACTGGTTACGGTGGATATCACGCAATACAGAAGCACCATTGCGTCTGCTGTGATTCTGTACATGCTCAAGGCATCCACCTGTCTCCAGATACTCGGAATATTCATTATCAATTCAATCAGAATCTATTGGATTTTGGTCTTTCTGATAGGGGGATTGGCTACGCTTGAGTTTGGCTTCGCATACCATTTCACCACGATACTGGGCCCAATCACCCTCAAAAGCATCACAGTCCTCACCAACGACTCCTGCATCATCGAGGCGTATCAAAAGAGAAAGAACTTCAAATCACTT